ATTTCTGTTGAACCTACAAAGAATGTCAGAGGTTCTGATGGCCTCTATACTGTCAGCAGTAAAGTGACTGTGGAGAAAGGACAGAGCTACAGCTTCACCTGCAAAGTTCAACAGAAGAATATCAGTCAAATCAAAGAGACACACATCCATGTTTCAGGTAGAAATGCTTTTTTTTTTTTTTATACCACTCACATTAATTTTCAGTTACAGAAAGTAGAATCTAGAACATTTTGTCTCCTTATATTTACAGGTGATCTCTTTATGGTCCAGTCTAATACTGCTGTTCACATTATCATCAACTTGGCTGTCTGTTTAATAAGCATCGGGACAGCAGTAATCCTAATATGGAAGTGTGGACAAAAGAAAACCAGTAAGTTCAAACTTCATAGCACTTTTTACTCCAACCTCAAATTATCATCAGACCTTTTTAATGTCTTGTTTTAGTGTAACTGCCTTTAAAATTAAAGGCTAAGAAGTACAAACGTGATTCAAATAAAAATGACACAAACACATAAACAGTTATGTTAAAGGCGCTCGAGGGAAAACAGTGGATGGAGACTGCAGAAATTACAGCGATTTACTAGCAAAATTGGAGGCTCTGAGCAACTTTACTTTTATAAAGGAATATAACCTTGTGTCCTGTGTTGTAAAGAGATGTGTTAAGACATGCAGAGTTGGTCTCATCAGTGCAGACTGACTAAGATTGATTGCAATATCTTGACTCTCTGTCTGCATTTATAAACTAAGTGTCAATTATTGGCAAGTGGTTGCCCGTCTGTCGGAGAGTAACTAGACTTAGTTTAAGTCACGCTGTGATTATTTGTTGGCAGTTTGCATCCCATTAGCAACCTGTGCAATTGCCTTGTGATCAAAAGTGGAGTATAGAACACCCTCAACCTCTAGAAGACCAACTGGTTGCCACAACCACCTGCTGAATGTGTAGAAATTCCACACGAGGAAGTTGCCTTGCTATTGCCTTCCTATTGTTTTCCTCTAGTGTGACTGAGACATTTTGGGGGCAAAGGTAAAAATATTTGAGGAAATCACCCACTGTAAAATTCTAGTTATAGCAACAATATAAATTAAAACTTTTTGTGCTTCATCCTTGTTGTAGGAATTGCGACCAAAATGTTCTCACTCGTTTACTCATATAAACAAAGCACTGAAAGAAAATTAAATATGAAAATTAGATATGCATGAATGTGTGTGATTTTGAATAAAATTGGCCAAACCTCTCTGATTCACACGTAGTAGTTTCAGTACATCTAATGTTATTTTAAATATCCTTCATTAGTGATTTCTGAACATCTATTTTCACTGAATTTTGAAAAACATCTGAAAGTCAGTCCTTCTCAAAAGAAGACTTTTGTTCTAGACTCTACATTGTTGTAGGGTGGTAACCATAGTGTCTCTATAGTAATGCTTCAAACTGTTTATTTCCATTTATATTTGATTACTGGTATAGTAAATTCCTGCAATTTTATCACACAGAAATCAGCAAACATGATGAGGACGAAAATGAACTACATCAAACAGAGATGGAGGAAAAATTACAGAGAGAATGTGAGGAAAAGAAAAGACTTGAAGATGAGTTGCAGAACAAGGAGGAAGACTTAAAACATGTCAGACAAACCATTGAAAAACTGATGGAGCAGAAGACATCTCTGAAGAACCAGAGAACAAACCTCAACACACTACTGCAGGAGGACAAGGCAGAGATGAAAGTGGTCACGAAAAAAGAGAAAGAAAACCCATTACTTGACAAAGAGAAAAAAATGCAAAAGCTTGTGGATAAAAAAACTGACCTGGAAAAGAGAACAGAAGCACATGAAGAACTGTTAAATATGACAGAAAAGCTAATGGAGGAAACAGAGAACATTATAATCCAAATGACAGAAAGAAAGGGAAAACTAGAAATAGACAAGGAACAAATTATTAAACACTTGAGAGAGAAACAAAAAAATGAAAGAGATTTAGAAGAAACTGTCAGAGAAACAAGCGAGAAACAATGAACAGGTGTGTAAGTTTTTCTTTAATATATTTCTTGCTAAAGTC